GTTACTAAACAAACATTATTTAGAACAAAAATAACATGCAATAACTGCCCAGAATTCTACATCGGAGAAACGGGAAGAAAATTGGTAACCAGATTCACAGAACACAATAAAAACCATCCCATGTTTTCCACCATTGCAACTCAAAAAACCATAGTATATCTATTAAAAACAGTAATTTTAAACAAAGAACCAAACATAAACAAACGAAAAATCAAGGAATACATCTTAATTGAACAAAACAACCCTACTCTAAACCAACACCATGGGGTGCCAAGATATCTCTTCTAAGTCTTGCAACAGTATCCGGTCACACATATATATCTGTGTTAGTGTACACTAACTGTACCTAATGATGACAAAACCTTGTCGAAATGTTGTATATTTGCTGTTTTGTTAAACTTATAAAGTTTTTCTTCATTACCCATTCAAGCCATCTCCAAGTATTATTACCTGAAAAGTTATTTACTTTGTGTGGCATGTGATGGTGCAACCGTAATGTTCGGGAGTAAAAAGGGGAGTTAAAAAACTGATGAAAGACAAATTTCCTTCTGTAATTGTATGGCACTGTGCTAATCACAGATCAGAACCGTCAGTTGGTGACACTAAAATCAGTCTCAGGAATAAACAGATTTAAAGCATTTATCGATAAACTTTATGTCCTGTATCACGCGTCGCCTAAAAATAGCAGAGAACTGAAACTGTACGCGAACTTGCTGGAGATTCAACTTTTAAAAATTGGCCAAATTTTATGCAATCGATAGGTGGCATCTAGTTTTCAGTCAGTTTCAGCTGTTTGTAAAAACTATGAAGCATTACTGTAACATTTCGAAAATGCAAAGCATGATTCAACAAGAGACAAAATAGAGCAATGTGCATATGAGGGCTTACAGCAAAAAATTACAAGCACAGAATTTCTATTGGATCTAGGATTGATGTGTGATGCTCTCCAAGAATTATCCGAATTGAGTTTGGAGTTACAAGAGCACGATATAGACTTGTACGAGGCGAATCAAAAGATAAAAGCTCTTGTACAAATGTTTGAAGAAAGATGAATGATTCCAGGCCCATATTAGAAAAATGCCGCTGAAGCCACCAAAAATCTTCACTTCTGGGGAGTTTCACTTCACAAAAAAAGATTGCAAAAAGGATCCTCTGATTAATCCGGAAGGTTTTTACAGAACCTTGAAAAAAATAGGTCGAAATAGGTTGCTTGATAGTGAAGATGACGATATAGCACAGTGTGCACATGTGCTTGATAAAAACATTGAACTGAAAACATTGATGCTCATTTAACATTTGGCAAGATGGAGGTCAGAAAAATTATCAATAAGACTTCAATTAAATGAAAGACATATGATTAGTGGATTTCATCAGTATTTGATTGAAAAGACGGTTCCAGAAAAATTGCAGCATTTGAAACACGCTCCGAGTACTATTCCCATTTCTACCAGTGAATGTGAATGAGGGTTTTTACAGATCAGTTTGAATGTCACCCCAACCAGAGCTTTGTTGATGACAAAAACCATTCCGGCACTTTTGTTTATGAAACTTGTTGGACTGCCCCTTCCACATTTTGACCCAATAAAATATGTAGAGTCATGGTTGCTCCGAAAATGTCACTCAGCAGTTGACACTAAAAGCAAGAAACTAAGTCAGGATATTGCATCAGATGAGAGCAACATGTAAATTGTTTGACATACACTCGAATAGTTCACAAAAATCCCAAATTGTGCTTTCCTCACTGAAAAAATTAAGCAAAAGATCAAAATTCCAAAATTGTCTACATCTCTGTTTGGGACCTGTAAAAACGTATCTTTGTACCAATTCCCATGTAAACTGGTTGAAATATGGCAGAGTAATTGTCAAAAACCCCTAAAATTATGCTTTCTGTGGCAACTTGACCCCCCCTATAATTGCTAAAAATGGACAATTCCACCATTTTTGTTTGTCAATGTGTGGGGCCTCTAGAAAAATATCTTTTTTTTTTTACCAAATCCCATGTAAAATGGTCAAAATACCACCAAGTAATTGAACAAAAAACCAAAATTATGTTCTTTTTGTGAGCTCTGACCACCTCTAAAGACTCCAAATGGGCAAATCCAACCTTTTTTGCATATTTGCTGTAAGTAGGACCACACAGAAGCCCAAAATATACAATCTTGGGTTGAGTGGTCTTTAACCCCATAAAATGGCATAACTCAGAAAAATGGTGTCTGGGCATATTGGACCAAGGTGTAACCCTACCAAGATTCAAGTCAATCCACTGAGAAATGAAGGAATGAACAACAGAAAAACAGTATGTCTCTCTGTGGAGACATAAAAAAAAAGATAAACAAATGTTTAATATTTTATGTGGGAAGTACTCCTTATATTAGTTTCAAGTTGGTAAACCAAACTACTTGTTAAATAAGAAGAAGATTAAAAAAACTGAAGAAATATAATAATCACATGCAGTCTTACCTAAGAGGATGGAGAACCAGGAGAACCAAAAATGCTATAAACAATCGGTGGGTATACCAAAACACGTTGTAGCAGGTTTCCCTTTATTCAGAAAAAAAGATATAAAAGACAATTATTTGTTGGTTCCATTTAACCTTACATTCAAGTTAAGTGGCAACCTCATTTCTGAAGTTTCAGGTTGCTGCAAAACAAATTCTTTCTTTCTGTTATATCTCTCACTATGCAAGTCTAATACAATGCAACACTCTATAGAGATAAACCATCATACTACATTTTACTGTAAACATTAATGTCTCCCAGTGTCTTAATGGTAACTGTGAAGGCTTATAAGGCTAAAATAATCCAGTTAGTCCACATTTCAAAATCAAAATAATTGCAACAGAATTTTTCTGCCAGAATAATATAAAACTATATTTCGTGAACAATATGTCAAAAGTCTAGAAAAATCTAAGTAGGGGATATTACAAAAAAAACAAAAAAAACGTTTTTTGAAAGTAAATTTTGCCATTTTAAAAGTGGTACATTCAAGCCACGATATAATGTAGGCTTTTCCCAGAAATTTGTTAATAGCCAGTGATACAACTGTTGAAGTAGTGAGAAGAAAATAACTGGACATGGTAAGTTTCTTGTATTGTATTGTTTATTATATATGCAAAACGTATATTCTAGTTGATTTATAATGCTAAAACGTCCGTAAATTATGCAAATAGGCGGTGAATCAGATTGTGTCATGCATTTTCACAGCGGCAGATAGGCCTTGTGAGCTTTGACCTAAATAAAAAATACAATGCGTTTTCACGGACGGCAAACATGTAAAAATAATGCGTATTTATATGTATAAAGTGATGGAAAGTTATTGTTTTTGATAAATAACGATACATCTGTAATAAAACTTCATTAAAATGCCTTAAAAAAGAAAATCAGTGGAGTGACTTGGTCGATTTTCACAACTACGGAAGTCCATTCGTGCCATAATTTGGAAAAATCATAAAAATTACAACAAAAAATAGAACAACAGCATTTTGCTCACGTTGATATTATTCTTGAGTGTCTTTATGTTTGACAATATATTACATGAATTTTGTGTTACCACTACACATATATATATATATATATATATATATATATATATATATATATATA